TAGAATCTGACGCGGCCATCTTGGAATCCCATTACACGGCCATCCTAGAATTACCCTGGCGCGGCCATTCTAGAATCTCTCACCCGCACATGGTACGCGACTGTCTCCGCTTTCCATTTCCGGCGAAACAACCGCAAAGGCCAAATATATCGAGTGCAGGGAGTCGACGCCTCCGTGTCTAGACGCTGAAGCATCCACATGACATCTTGCAATAATAATAAAACAATAGCTTGTGAAGGTTTGGATTTGGGTCTTTAATGGGTGCTAACTCGTCAAGCGGGTCAAAATGCTCAAAAATACATGTACGGTATACATTACAACGCACAATCCGCGATCTCTCATCACTTCCGCATCCGTTTCTTGAAACGTTCCATGACCTAAAGGCGAGAGTTTCAGTACACCGGCATTGGGAAGGAAAAGCTGCCCACCAGCTCATCGGTCGCCATCTGCACGCCGCCTTCATTCGTTCGGCGCGGTTGGTCGTCCTGCGTGGGCATTCCCATCGCCTCGAGCTTCGCGTCCCTAAGGATGTCGGCGTCGGATTTGGTTTTCAGGTTCGGGCGGTAGACTGTCGGACGAATGGTTAGTGGATGTTGATGTTCATAAGTACATGAATGAGCAAGGAGAGGACGCACAACGCGACGCAACGAGGTGTTCCTCATCATTGTTGACCCTCTTGCGCTGTTCCCGATTTTCAGCCACGACACGTTTCGCCTTCTCCGTGTCCTCGATATTCTTCAGTCGGGTACTAGTTGAAAGAGGGTCAGGAAATGTCAAGAACGTATATAAATAACATACTCCATGCCGAGATCGACCTCTGGGATAGCAGTAAGCATGGACAAGCTGTTTGTGACGCTGCCATCGTCCAGAGTCGGCTTCTGCTTCTCGACTTTCCACCTGTCAGCGATCTGGTACAGCGCCTCCTGCGGGTCCGCCGGGCCCTTCTTCTCGTCCTCTTCGCGCGGTTTGCCGCGGACCTTGAGGTTCTCCTCGATGTACGCCATCCTGCACAATTCAGCTTACTCGGCCATACGTTCAAGTAAAAAGGCGAACATGTGCTTGTCGACATCGAGCGCATTTGTCTGCTGCGTAAAGTTGTTGTTTCGGACAACACGCCGGGCTCTTGCATCTCGCTCCTCGTCATCCCTATTCGTTTGAACGATCTGTTAAGTATTCAGCAAAACGAAGCCAGAAACTTACTCCTCTTCCTCCGGAATGGCGGTAGCCTTCCTCAACCCACCCTGTTCGGCCTCCTCCTCTCTCGGCCGCTTCTTCTTCCTTCGGAGATCGCCCTTGTTCAGTTTTGCCGCGTCGATACCCTGCCGCGCTCTGCGTAGCTTGCGAAGCTCAATTAAATCATGCAAATCCAAGCTACCCAAAAGATCAGTATACGGATGAAAATCATGGCAATTTAGAGGGCACTCTATCTTGTCTTCGTCTCCTTCATCTTGTTCAACCGGTGCGACTTCGTCTGGAGATTTTTCCCGGATGCGAGGCTGAGGTCGAGTTCGTTTCTTGATCATCGGTCACAATGTGACATCGGGTCACCCTCTTCAACCATGAACACATCGACGTCGCGATGAGTGTTCCCTTGGTCGCGATATCTTCTCTTCCAAACGAGCTTCTTGAAGCCATTGCTGCTGCCGGCCAAGAAGAACGCGTCCAAGGTGTGCTCGAATTGTTCAAATCGGAGTGGACTTTATCCCATGTCTCCCGTCGCTTTCGCCACGTTATCATCGGCTCTCCCTCGTTATGGACACTGATCGAAATGGACTTCGGCGTCGAGGGTTCGGTAGAAATCCTGAAACTGTACCTCGAACGCTCCCAACCGCAGAGTATATCTGCGATCTTGCGGCGCCGTTCGGCCCCCAAAGCCACGGCCGATCTTGTTGTCGAGCGCCTTGGTCACGTTGTTCAGCATATAAATCGCATATGGCGATTGAGCATCGAAGTCCGTGCTGATTCGATGGAAGTATTGTTCCCGTTTCGAGATATAGCAGCTCCTGCATTGCGGCACCTCGAAGTTGTGAAGAAAGACGGTGGCTCGTGGGCCTCCATCCACTTATTCTCAGCGGCCCCGGCGCTGACATTTCTCAAAATGGATAGCCTGAAACCTGGCTCGCCGGTGCCCCCGTGGACAGCCTCTCTAACGCACCTCGAGTTTTGGGGTGGACAGGACTATATAGACGAAGATGCTACTACTATTCTTGCTGTGATCACTGAGCAGTGTCCCTCGTTGGTCCATTTGTACCTCGATATAAACTGGATGGACTCCCAAGGACACCGCTTTCATATCCCATCTCTGAAAACCCTACACATATCGACTTCTCCTAGCGAAACTCGGATTACTTATTGGAGATGGTGGACCTATTTGACACCCCCGCATTGACTAAATTCATCATCGACAACGCTCGGTGTGACCAGATCTACAACCTCTTTAACGCAACGAGCCTCCCTCACGCGTCCTTCCCTGCCCTGACCTCCTTCTCCCTCGTTAACGGCGGCCCGTGTCCATGTGACGACGAGGATCCCTTCTGTTATTCAACCCCCTTCCCCGAACTCTTCCCCGCGCTCTCTTCCTTGACCTTGGTCAATCAATGCCTTACAGCCACCCTCGTCGGAGACATGTTGGGCCCTGCGCAATGGCCCTTGAAAACGATCACGTTGTGTCCACAGAATAGCTTTCTCGATGACGTGTGGGACGCCCTCCAAAATGGAATTCGTTCGAAACGCCAACTCGGACGCGCGCTTCCTGATTTCAGGTTTTCCCCGGCGCTCTTCTCTCTCGTACCAGACAATTGGGAAGCGGGTCTTAACTGGATGGCTGGGAAGCTTTGGACATCGCGCACTGAGGACATTTATTGAGAGTTGCATCTGCTCTCGTGAAATGTCTGGACGTCGGTGTCTCTGAGCCACAGGACGGTCGATTGTTCAGGTTCGCAGAGTTGGAATCGTGGGCGATGAGATCTGTCGATTCATTTGAATGCGGTGACCAAGGCACATCGAACGTATCTGACGGTCTAGATCACCGTTCTCCCTCACAGCAATCTCCCCACAATAAATAACTCTCCAGTCCCTTATGCTGTCTCGGGTTCGAAGGCTGCGCTTGAAGTGGCAAGTATCAAGCTGAGAATTGTAAATGTGCTGGAGCGGGCACTCTCGGTGTTCAGCTCGCTAATATATCAGGCTTTTTTAGGAACATGAACACTGCTATCAGTTATAGGTATTTCGTACATCCAATTGCAATCTATGTGGTCCTGATATAGCCCCTTGAGCGAGCGCGCGATCCAAGTATGGCCCGGTACCTGTTCCTCTGTATGTTTGTGCTGCTGGTTCCGTACACACCCGTGCATCTCAACAGATCCCTTTATCTGGCACTTCGTCCTTCAAGCGATACATCGCTGTAAGATCGCCGCTCAGACCTACTAGGCTTATGCAGCCAGTTTGCGGATCTCTGCTTCATGTCATTGTGTCATATTCTCGATTCGAACAAGATACGGATATTCGACTTCTCGGTTTATGTAACAGTTTAACGGGTTCTCGAGAGTTTGGAGGTCTCCAGAAAACCAACTTCAATTTACCATCCAAACAAACCCCGGAACCAATCCCACCAGCTCCTCTTGGACATTGCCGCCTTCTGTAAAAACGAGAACCAACTTCCCTTGGGTACAGCTGCGCCATAAAACACGCGTTGGGCCCACGATGCGGCAGTTGCTGAAAATAGGTCAACTTTGACGGTCTTCTAGTATTTCCCGCTGCCTCACCTTTACCGGGCCCTATCGGCCCAAACCCGAAGACGCCCATAACTGGGCGGAGCATCCAATATTCCGGTATGAGCATCACCGCGCCCGTGAAGAGCAGGGCACTGAGCAATTGAGGGTGTTGCTCAACAAGGTCGCCTTGAAAACGATTAGACCGTTGACTCCACCCATCGAATGAAGCGGCACCCACCAACCAATACGACGAGCTTTTCGATCGATTCCTGAATCGTCTCCCAGTGGGCTGCTACAACATCCTCGTCCATCCCGTGTTTTGCACACACAACCTTGAGCGCAGCACCGGCCTTCTCCAGCGCTACCGCGACCTTCTTTTGCCGCTCCTCATGCCCCTGGGCCTCTTCAGGCGCCGGACACATCATCTGAAGCTCCTCGAGCACCTTCTCTAGCGCGCGCTCCAAATCTTCTGCCACATGACCGGTGAATGTGCTCGCAGCCTCGTCGTCGCTTGACTGCTTATTGGTCGTCGATGTCTGAAGGTCGTGCAATGCCGTTGCCCCATGAACAATCGTGTTCATGCGATCCTTCACCTCCCCAATCTTCTCGAGGATGTCCTGCGAGGTCGCTGCTGCATCCTTCATCAGTTTCTCGGAGTACTGGCGCGCGGTGTCGCCTAGCTCGCGCGCGCGCTGCCAGAAGTGCTCCGGGTCCAGATCGGCTTCATTTGTGCGGAATATTCCGTTCTGCGATGAAATATGTTGTTGGAAAAAAACAAGGATTGAGCTTGGGAGAAGTACACCCAGATGGGCTGGGCTGAAGAATGCTGCGGTGACAGGAGGTAGGTTGAACGAGAAAAAAAGCGCTAACAACGGAAGGTACAACATCTTAAACTGCATGGTGGTAGAGGTGGTGGGCTGGAAACAGACGGGTGCACAGTCTGTTTATAACGACCAGGACACGTTCCTGATGAAAGGCTATGGAAAGCCTAGTTATCGGCGCTGTAGGCGCTGGTTTACGTCTCCCGGCGCTTGTGCATAAGTACAAGGGACCCGGCAGTTGTCGGCGGCGTTGTTCAAGCTGCTATTTCAGTCTCCGGAGACCGTCGGCACGTACAGTAGTGTTATCAATAGAGAAACCTTGTACTCCCTGTGGCGAGAATATACAAAGTGGCGGGCCCAGACAAGATTTGATGGAGGACAAAGATCGGCCAGTTCCGGAGCACATACTATTCATAGCCAAGGCTCCATTCCGGCCTTATGGTCTATTGACTCGAAACAACTTAGGGGGCGTGTGGCGCAATGGTTAGCGCGTTTGACTTCTAGCCCACGTAATTCATCAAAAGGTTGTAGGTTCGAGTCCTACCTCGCTCAACTTCTTTTTCCTCTTTGTTTTAGCCCTCCTCCTGGAGGAAGTTGAGTAGCTTTCAGTTGGACATGTTTGTTAACAAGCCCAAAAATGTTGTAAATGCCATGCGCACATCACACGATTCGCCTTCTGAAATGGTGATCGGCGTCTCTCAAATTGGCTCTACAGATCTGGTTCGCCTCGCGGCGCACACTTACTGGTGAGTCGCGTGTGCTGTTTGCCGACGTCCAGGATTCTCGAAGCCCCAACTTGTACAAAAATATGGAATACAAAGGCGTGGACGACATCGAATTGTGATGAAGAAGTGAGCTCAAGTTTTCGGATCCTCCCGTTTCTTCCTGGCCAACTTTCGCTCAATTATACCCACATACTGTGCCATGCCCCTTTCCATAAGTTTCAGCTTGCCTCCACCGACACGATATGTCTTCCCAGGTGGGGTAGTATCATCGTCTTCACTGGAGGATTCCTCCGATGCATCATCTTCCTGCGCTGCAGCATGCCGCAATGATTCGCCCTCAATCACGACACGGCTAAACCAACTGAATGGAAGGATGAGGCCCAATCACTGACTCAGCGAGGAGCGGGGAAACCCACCGGTCGTGGGTGATTATCATTACCGCCCCAGAGAACGTCTTGAGAGCTGTGGCAAGAGCTTGGATGGTATGGAAGTCGACGTGCGTAGTTACTTCGTCGAGCAACAGCAGTGGAGGCGGTATGAACACTATAAGCGCTATGGCCAACCGAACCTGTCATATACCCACTAAGTCAGGGAGATTTGAAGTGACTCAAACAATACCTTTTGCCCGCCACTCAACTGCACAAGCGGCGTATCACTCGCGATCTTGCCTCGAAGGCCAAAAGAACCTAGACATTTCCGCGCATCCTGCTCGACGACGGATTCGCCTTTGGTTTCAAAATGTTCCAAGAAATAGGACAATGCCGTCACTGGCCTACCCGACGTTGATTCGGTCTGAGGGCCCGACAATTCTTCCACCGAATGTTGCCCTAATTTGCACCTGGTTCAACTCTCCATCTTTACTAGTCCACTGCGTCCTCACCATAGTATCCAATTTTGAGGAGGGGATGTCGGACGATGTTGCCCTTGGTGGGTGTAAGGGTGCCCATGATGAGTTTCGCAATCGTTGACTATACAACGTCGTTCAATCTTTTATCGTTTGGAAGAAGGTCTGAAAGACCTTGCCCTGCCCGTTAGCGCCTAGATCGGACAGTCAGAAACAGGAAAAATGAGATTGTCAAACTTGGAGTGAGTTACCTACAAATGCACATCGACCACCTTGATTGATGGTGAACGTGATATCCTCGAGGAACGGCTTCTTGGCTTTAGGAAACCGGTACTCCACCGCATCGAAATGAATCAAGTCTCCCGCAGTCCGCAGCTTCTCCGGGCTCTCTATGTTGATTTTGATCCTCGGCTCGGTGACGATGTTCTCCACGTCCAGTCGATTCGAATTGAAGTAGCCTGCCTTGAATATTCTCAGAAGACTGCGAGTGAAAATTCAGTACAATAGCTTACCATATCGCGGTTCAGTTTGAATCGTGTCCCTTTCGCGCTGGTTTCTGCTCCCCAACGCTCGTCCAATCTGAAGCAGGACAATAAACGACAATGAAGGACGAGAGGAGAGAGAAAAAACTTTTTCTGTCGGGATTTGACCATCCGCATCCTCCATAACGAACGATTAGAAGATTCGCACGCTTAACAAGACTGCACACCTGTTTTCATCGCCAGTTTTCTTGGCGCTTTCTTTGCCTTGCTGGATTGACTTCTCGATCTAGCTATAAAGTTGAGAATGTATATCACAAACGCTCCTGCACAACGTACATGCTCCCGTTTCTTATCCAGGGTCTCTTGCGCACTTGAAAGTTGCTTTGCCTTTTTCCGCTCGTTGACTTCAAAAGCGGCAGGTGTGCCTTCGAAATACTCGAGCTTCTTATTCCGCAAAATAATTGTCTCTTCGACAACATTGTTTAAGAAGTCTTGGTCGTGCGAAATGAGCACAAGGGTGCGCGACTGGGAGCTAAGGAAGCCTTCGAGCCAGATTATGGCTTCGAGATCCTAATTATAAATATATAATGGACGTGAACCACAAACGAAGAATGAAGAGCGTACCAGGAAATTGGATGGTTCATCGAGAAGTAACACATCGCTATGAACGAGGAGCGACGTCGCAAGGGAGCAACGAGACCTCCATCCACCGGAAAGGGAGGTGTACGGTCCATTGACCATCTCTTGGGTAAACCCCAAACCAGAAAGAATACTCGCAGCACGCGCTTCCGTAGACGACGTTTCAAGCTTCAGTTCCAAAAATGAACACTAGTGCGAAGTAGAGAGTCGTGTACATACTAGTTCGAGTGTAACCTGGATATTTTGGAGCATGTCCAGAGCTTGGTTCATAATATCAGGTTCGATATCGGCTGTGTCGACACTTTCGAGTCTTGCGGGGCGTTAGTGAGGAGATGCTAAATGCAACCCATTGCGTACAACAATTCAGCCTTTCTGAGGTTTTCCTCGGCCTTGATTTCTTCCAAACGCGCGTCTTTACCACGGGTCCCGGATCTTCGGCTTGCGACTTTCTTAGCCTCCTGCAACTCCCGGCGGCGCGCATCGAGACTTAGCTCGTATACGATGCGCTGGGTTTCGCGGAGAGACGTTGTTTCAGTGGCTTTGGTCAAAGCTAGGACATGACTCAATGTTCACGTTTATTGCTGCCACAAAATGCGAACGTGCCTTCAAACTCTTCCACCGCAGCTTGCTGTTCCTTGTCACCCTTGACGACATGCTCGAGTACGTTGATAGATCCCACACTATCCGTCGCTCTCGCACTGTCCTCTACCTGAGAGAGCAAAAGAATTCGAATGGATGGGCTCAAGCCAGGGATAAGTTTGTCCGCAATCGCGGTCAAGAGCGTCGACTTTCCGGACCCATTGCGACCTTTAACAAGGTCAGAATATAAAGCGTGTTTCAAGAGACTGAGCAACCGACGAGTCCAAATCTAATGCCTTGCTTCAGACGCAGATGGCTGGATGAAATAAGCTCCCGTTCTCCTATAGAAATAGTAACGCCTTTAAGATCGATCTCGAGAGTAGTATCGAGGGTTTCCGTGTGGAAGCGTGATTGCTGCGAGGTCGCAATAATGGGGTTCGAGTCTTTGGGAGCTGTCTTTGCTTTTGGCGCCATATCGACTGTTTTGATAGTGAGCGAACGGGAATAGCTGTGAGGCGGCAGGGATAATATTCAAAATTCTGAGCTGGTTTTGCGTTGAACGTTGAACGTTGAGGTGGGGAAGAGCAAGGATGGTACTCGTAGAGTGTCATACGGGACCGACATGTTGAAGTAAAGATAAGATAAGATATCCAGCACCTTCTGATCGGAAATATCCCAAAGAAGTTGAAGTAGCGGCTAGATTCTGGACTGGTTCTGACTTGCATCCATTGCAGACTCGGAATCGGACAGATTTCGTCCGCTGTTGTGGTCTGGGTCCCGTGCCCCACAGTTCCTTGACTCCGCACACAGTTGAATGATCGAACAATCCGGGTTCCCCAGTTCAACTTCCCTCAAATGTCGTCAATTAACAACTAGAAAAATAAAACCACTCTGCACAATAAGAGATAAATGAAACCCAATCAGTGTCATTTGATTTCTGCGGCTTGAACACCGGGACAGCGAGAGTGATTAAACATGCGCGGGAATAATATAGTCGTCGCGGCTCAAGTTTGGGAACAGTGATCTATCCAGAATTTTGCCCAATGTCTGCATCGCTAGAGAAACGTGAGAACATAATCGGACATGAAGCGTTGCAATGCGTACCCGATTGAGACGTAGTTCTTGTCAGCAGTCCCAAGGTATATATCCATACCTGCCTGCGTCAACCGCGAGAGATGGCTGCTGATCGGCTCGAATTTTTTGGTCTCTGGAGGACCGTCTCGTGTCATGCCGTCCAGAAAGGGACTGGATCCCCAGACGAGTCTAAATTTGCGGAGTTTATCGGACCGCGAATATAGGAAGCCCACCAGGTCATAGAGGTTCAAAGGACCGTCTATATCTTTGAGACTGAGAGTCTGGATATTTGAGAGAGGGTCGAAACTGAGACGCCTGCGGCTGAACATGGTGACCATGCCCTCGCGAGAGACACGCGCAATCTCCAGACTGTTGAGAGTGCGGGCAACGAGAGGTATACATTGGCGCCAACGGTCGGTGTCTCCCCGAATGGATAGGGACGCCAAGGGTGGTGACGACCGTGCTAGAAATGGCTTGAAGGAGTGGGAGCTTTCCGTGTTAGACACGTCAAGATATCGCAGAGCTGGAAGAGTGAGGTATTGTAAAATATCAATACTGTTTTTTCCTATAGTGAGCGATGTCAAAGTGCCATGGGCTATCACGAGGAAATCGTCATCGTCGTTGTCCAGTGTGCATTTTGCTTCAATAAGGTTGGGGGCCAGGGTAAATAATCCCAGATCCCGTATTCTCCCCTCAAATTTCGTCAACTGGAGCCACGGAAAAGATAGGCCACTGGATGTGAATCCTACGAATTGTACGCTCAGATCGCGGAGGCGCGGTGCATTGCCGAAGAGAACGATGGGAGTGGGATTTGAGTTAGGATTGCACCCAAACGTCGCACCCTGGAGTAGTGGGAACGGCGTCGAGCCTAGTCCTAGCGGGCCGATATCGTGGGGCCTTCGTATGTCGAGATGGAGATATTGCACTCGATGGGACCAGCGATGGATGATGTCTCGCAAGCGACTGAGCGTGAAGAATTTGTCTCTGGAGGAATGGAAATCGAGCTGTAGAGGTCGATTTCCTGCACGACCCAACCAACGGTAGATGAAGCACTCTGCTAGGAAAGGTTTTGAGGCCACTCTGGGCCCAATGTGATCGAATCGAATTTTCAGTTCCGACCAGAGAATGGGGGTGGCAAGGACAATATCTCTCCACGCGCGACAAACACTGCCAAGGGTAATCGCCGCCGAGCCTGCGCATTTGGGGATG